GAACATGGAAAAATTGTTACGGCTGCAGAATTTTAACAATGGTGGCCTTATCAATTTCACATGTATGTGAATGGAAGAAAAAGCTTACGACTCAAAATATTATAAATAGGCTTCTTCCTTTCATTTGTAAAACTTGTATCTAGTGTAACACAGAAAGAGTGCAGATTAGCACCAAGAAATATAAACTCCTAGTTACCGGTGGACGTAGGTCAGAGAAGGACCGAACCACGTTAAATCGCTCGTGTTCATCCTTGTGTTCTTGTTTTTTGTGAGCTGTGTGTGTGTTTAGAGTCGTGTGTTAAGTGTCTCGATCCTAACACAAAATACCAGATAAAGTAAGAACTTTAAGTTTATCAAAAGAGATATGTCCCAATCTTGAATGCCATGTATCTATATCACTGGGAGAGCCATCGGATGCTGAGAGAGAAGAATGAACAAAAGGTTGTGGTTTGCGGAGATAGACTAACTCAAACTGCCGACCCACTCGACGGCCTATCCCAATTGTTTTCTTCGTGCTGGGATCCTGAACATAACAACCAGAAGGAGAGAATAAAGTGTTTAGACCCATATCACAAAGTTGGCCCACTGAAATTAAGTTAACTGATAGCTTCGGGATGTAAAGTGTATCTGGTAAGGACAATTGGGCTGTAGAAATATGCCCATTGTAATGAACAGGTAGACTGGTTCCATTAGCGGTCGTAACAACAGATGGAGATGTAGTTGTGGTTTTTGTGACAAATACATTAGGTTGTGAGGTCATGTGATTGCAACAACCAAAATCAAATAACCAAGCTTTACCTGCAACTGTTGAATTGGCCATGATTGGTGAGGAGATGGACATAACTTGTTTTATGAGCTCGATTACATCATCAGAGGTAAAAGTGTTGAGGCTCTGAGCTGTTGAGGACCCCGAAGGCACATTGGAAGAATCTGGAGCACAAACTGTTGCAGTGATATTTTTGATGCGATCTGGATTCTTAAAACAGTTAGATGGAAAGTGCCTAGGATGTTTCTTTTGACAAAAAATACAAGAACGGTTTGGATAATCCAACAGTTGATGACCATTGAAAGTGGGTCCCGCAAGAGTCAGTTGATCCCAAATAACTTGTACTTCAGATTAGAAATGCACTGATGGTTTGACCTGGTTGTTGACATTTGCTAAGAAGCCCAGACAAAAGGTGATGGTGATACTGATGAGCCATATCAGTGGTGGTATACCTATCTTTAAGAAAATCCCATATTTCTTTACCAGTGACAAAAAGCCCAAATTGTTGATTGATTTCGGTTGTTGAAGTATTACACAGAATGGTGACAATTTATCCATTCTTACACAACCAGTTTTCTTCTCTAATATCAAAGGCATCTTGATCTTCCCTTTCTTTCTGAACTGGTCTAGGTATAGCACCTGAAACAACCCTTCATAGTTTGCGAGATTGAAGATAGCTTGTCATATGTCGAGCCCATATAACATAATTAGATCCATCTAAGGTAACTGAGATTGGGCGAGGTGTGACAAGAGGAGTTGTCATCGTTTAGGAAGAAAATACAAGAAAGGAATGAGAAACTTCAAGAATGTTGTGAAAACCTCGTGCACAGAATAGTGAGTTCGATTTTACCAGAAAATAGGGGAGATGATGGCTGCACAGAGGTTATTACGAGAGATAGGTGCTACAGGGGTGACGATGAGAGATTGAGTCGACTATTGTTGTAGTGGTAATGAGACACACCACAAAAGTCGACCAGTCGACCGGAGATGGTGAGAGGAGACGGACACTACTACAAAATAGGTAAAAGAACCCGGTTAAAAGCTTCAAAGAACCCGGTTTTTAACCGGGTTTCTTATGGGCGAGTCATATGTAAAAAAGATAATAAAACCCGGTTTAACAACCGGGTCCTATTAATGTAATATAAGTTATATAACCTGGTTCCTTTTAACAAACCCGGTTTTAGTATAAAAATTGGGTCGCAAAGTGTGGGGTTAAAAACTGGGGGGAGATTAGAAATTTTCAAGGGAAATCATCGAAATGAGCTATAAAACACGGTTTTAGATAAAAACTGGGTCGCAAAGTGTGGGGTTAAAAAGACCCGGTTGATATACCTTTTTTTTGTTTTTATCTTATGATTCTTTGGATGTAGAGCTTGCTTATACGGTGGTGGTGACAGAGAAATGTGATGCGTATAGCTTTGGGATTGTTGCACTAGAAGTGATCATGGGAAAGCATCCTGGTGAACTGCCAACATTGCCTGTTGTTTATTGCTGTTTATCTGGTGTTGGGAAATGTTTGAGATAGTCAGATTCCACTTCCCTCACCACAAGTTGAGAAAAAAGTTAATATGGTACTGAATCTCTCAAGAGCATGTTTGAACTCCAATCCACATAAAAGACCAACAATGCGCCATGTTTCAAATCTGTTGATGAAGGCCTGATATTAGGCTACTTTCCATGTTCCCTATATGCATGCTGATAATATGTATTTATTTGAATGCCTTTTTGTTATGAAAATGCTCATATGTTTTCTTCTCTACCCTCATTTACATGTTCAAGAAAAACACTAGGTCCATTCATTTTTTAGATTCTTATAAAGGAGCCATCACCATTGACCCATTAATAGACGATCGCTAAAAACATTGATTTCGGAAGTAAAACAAACTATGCATTGCTTTGTCAATTGTCCATGTCCCATCTTGTCTTCTCATGTCAATGCTAGCTTTTTTGTTAGAATTAACAAATGTTTGCAGACCATTAAGTAATTATATCCTGTAAATGTTCATTGTTTTATAACTCTATAAAACCACAACACTGCACTATGAAGAAACAATACAACTAATGTGGCATTATATTAAAGAAATTTATTCACGCATTTCATCAAACACTTGTTAGGCACTAAAACCAATACGATGGTTAACACTTCAATCACTCTGCTTCTACTATGGAAATGGATTTACACCATCATAAAATCACCAATTTGTTTTAAATTTAATATTTTCTACGATTTGGATTGATTAAATGATTTGGTAGCAATTTCTGATGGATTAAAAACAATTTGGGGGGTGATTGGATAGGAAAAAAAGGGTGGTTATTGCTTATTGCTTATTCCCAACACAATAAGGTAAGTTTAAGTGTTTGGATAAAATCCTTAAAAATCAGCTTATTGTGTTAGGAATAAGCTAAATAAGCTAATTCTAATAAGCATCTCCCCCCTTGCTTATTGCTTATTCTCACCACAAATAAGTTAATAAGCAATAAGCTAATAAGTTAATCCAAACACCCCCTTGATTTAATAGGCTTCTAAATATGGTCGTTCTGATGAATGACTCTAATAAGGGAAAACATGTTTGGATGTTTTTAACGGTACTAATTAGAATGTGTGCATTAGGATCCTATAAATGCTCTAACCAATTTTTAATTCCCGAATACTTCCTTCAATGGCGAATTGTAATTTTAGTTTGATCTAAAACAAGATGAAATTAAAAGAATATTAACCGGGACCAATTACGTAGCTTCCACTACAGTTCAAGGACATAAAATGTAATTTACTCAAGATAATTTACTTTATAGAGAATTTTTCATTTGAAACAGTCTGGTGATAAAATCTCAAGATTTAATAAAAAACTATAAGCTTTTGGAAAAACTAATAGTTAAAACTAGTACCCGTGTTCTGAAATTCAACATTTTGAATTATTCAATCATTATTTTAATTGCACTTATCTTATTGTTCTGAATTAATTATAATAAAGAACCCATCTAATACCTTTTTCTCGTCAAAATCGATATATAATATACATAGACAGAGATGGTGTGTGGTTTTTCCATGAAAGAGGGTTGAGTGGGGATACTCAGTGGATGAGAAAGACGGTCACCCACAAAACAGATGTTAAATTTAAAAGAATAGATTACAAATTTGATTCCAGTTTCGATTTTGTCACAAAAAACATTTCTGTGACAACTTTGGTCGTACAGCAGGTCTTCACATAACAACTATAGCTATCAAAAGAATGATATTAGTCATAGATTTTTATATTTGTGAAGTTATACTATATATATATATATATATATATATATATATATATATATATATATATATATATATATATATAGGGTGAGGTTCAATAGAGAACCATAATTAACCAAGGAACCAAGGAACCAATCTTTTTTTAACTTTTAAAATTTATTTTTTATCAAAAAAAAAAAAAAAACTAAAAATACAGAAATTCATAACTTTTTATTCTTTTTCCAATGATAGCAAATTCGATTTTTTTTTACGTCAAATTCACAATGTGAATATTTGAAAATTCACAATGTGAATCCGGATTCACACGGTGAATTCGAAAAATATTTTTCACATTCACAATGTTAATATATGAATTTAGATATTTTTAGATTTTTTTTCGATAAATAATAAGTTCTAGAAATTAAAAAAAAGATTTGGTTCCTTGAAGAACCAATAATTATGGTTCTCTATTGAACTTTTCCATATATATATATATATATATATATATATATATATATATATATATATATATATATATTATGATTTGTTGAACCAGTAATAATCGAAGCCCGTTTGATTATATAACCAACTAGACAGTTATTTCACTGTCAATCAACTGCTTTTGGATTTGATACAGCCACATGAATTAATTGGAAAACAAAAGTTATAGGCCTAATAAATGCACTGTACTTACATTAATTGAACTGTCATATCCATTATCAACATATGATACTGACATGATGAATACAAATGAAAATGTGATACATTCCTTGTGGAAAAAGATATAACCGGCTTCTCACGTAAATAATTCCATGTGGAAAAAATTATGACTTTGCCCAAACTTTCCTTGTGGAAATACAGGAAAAAAAACAAGTGAAATTGATAGCCCAAGTATAAATTAGGGGGACACTATCCATCATTTATTAAAATCAACATGGTAAATCAAGCTATGTCTTCTTCAAACTTCGATTTTTTGTCTTTAGCTCTAATTTCATGACACTCTCCCATATGCCTAAAATCGCCTTTGCTTCTCCGGAGGAAGCAAATGCTCTTCTTAAATGGAAAGAAAGTATTCATATCCCAAATAACTCCACGGTCTCTTCATGGCTTCGCCTTCCTATGAATTCCAGTGCATTGTTTCCATGCACTTCTTGGTTTGGAATAGTTTGTAATGCTGACGGGAACATTCAGACGTTGAACCTCAGTTCATCTGGATTAAAAGGTACACTCCACCAATTTTCATTTTCTTTGCTACACAATCTTACGCATTTTGATCTCTATGAGAACAACTTCTTTGGGCCCATACCACCAGAAATCCGACTCCTCTCCAAACTTGTATTTCTTGATTTTTCAGTGAATCAGTTTTCTGGCTCAATTCCTTCATCATTGGGACATTTGACATCTTTGAATTTCCTTTATTTATCCCGAAATCAACTCTCTGGTCCCATTCCTACTGAAATTGGGAATTTAAAGTCTCTCACTGATTTTGCTATGAGCTACAATCAACTTAATAATTCTATTCCTTCATCACTAGCAAACTTGAGCAACTTACAAGGACTGTACCTAGCTGCGAATAATTTTTCTGGCCCGGTTCCTATTGAACTTGGGAATTTGAAGTCTCTCATTGATCTTGAGTTGAGCAGCAATAAGCTTAGTGGTTCTATTCCTTCATCATTGGGTGATCTGACATCTTTGAATGTCCTTTATTTTACCAAAATCAACTCTCTGGTCCCATTCCTATTGAACTTGGAAATTTGAAGTCTCTCATTCGTCTTGGGGTGAACCACAATCAACTTAGTGGTTCTATTCCGTTATCACTAGGAAACCTCAGCAACCTACAGACTTTGTACCTCCATGAGAATAAATTATCCGGTCCCATTCCTATTGAAATTGGGAATTTGGAGTCTCTTTCTGATCTTGCGGTCGGTAACAATCAACTTAATGGTTCTATTCCTTCATCGCTAGGAAACCTGGGAAACTTAGAATGGTTGATCCTCAATGATAATAAATTTTCTGGTCCCATTCCTGGAGAACTTGGGAATTTGAAGTCTCTCACTCATTTTAAGTTGAGCGGCAATCAGCTTAGTGGTTCTATTCCTTCATCATTTGGTGATTTGATATCTTTAGATGGCCTTTATATGCAATACAATCATCTTGCTGGTCCCATTCCTTTTCAACTTGTGAATTTGAAATTTCTCACTGATCTTAAGTTGAGCAACAATCAACTTAGTGGTTCCATTCCTCCAGAGTTTGGAAACTCAACTCAACTACAAAGGCTTGATCTGTCTTCGAATCAATTGGTTGGTGAGATCCCAAAGGAGTTTGGTAAGATGAAAAGTATGTTGTATTTGTACTTGTCTCATAACCAACTTACAGGTATTATACCTCTAGAGTTTGAATTCTGTCAACTCCTTGAAGAACTCGATCTCTCTAGAAATAGATTGAATGGGTCAATACCAAAAAGTATTGGTCATTGGGCACACATCCACTACTTGAATCCTAGTAATAACCAACTTAGTGAGAAAATTCCATCTGAGATTGATAAATTAGTTCAACTTACAGAACTTGATTTATCTCAGAATTTGCTCACAGAAGAGATACCATCTGAAATTCAAAGTTTGCAAAAATTGGATCTTTCTCATAATAGACTATCTGGTTCTATTCCTAACGCGTTTACAAGTTTGCCTAGTGGGATTGACATTGACCTTTCCAACAATGAGCTCATAGGTCCAGTTCCGCTTTGCTCTAACTTTGTGAACGCGTCCTTACAAGGAAATCCAGGTGTATGTGGAAATTTTACAGGACTAAAACTTTGTGCAAGTCACATCTTGAAGAAGAAAAATGTTCCCTTTCATCATCGGCGCATCCTTTTCATTATTCTCCCTATTATCGGGGCAATTTTACTTGGTTTACTCATGTGTGGCGTTACTGCTTATCGAAAACAAAAGAGACATTCTCCACAGAAACCATTGGACAAAGAAGTTGGTGATTATTTCTCCATAAAAAGATTTGACGGAGGAGTAGTGTATGATGACATCTTGAAAGCAACGAATAATTTTGATGAAGCATACTCCATTGGGACCGGAGGATATGGGACTGTGTACAAAGCCGAGCTACAACCTAACAATGTGGTAGCAGTCAAGAAACTTCACTCATCATCTGAGGATGTTGATCATAATGGATTTCTTAATGAGGTACGAGCATTAACAAACATAAGGCATCGAAACATAGTGAAACTTTATGGATATTGCTCACATGCCCGGCACTCCTTTTTGATTTATGAATACCTTGAAAAGGGAAGCCTTGGATCAATCTTAAGAAATGATGTTTTAGTAACAGAATTGGATTGGTTGAAAAGGGTAAAAATTGTAAAGGCTCTAGCTAATGGGTTGGCTTATATGCATCACGACTGCACACCACCTATAATTCATAGAGACATTTCCATTGCCAATATCCTTCTTGATTCCGATTATGAGGCACATATTTCTGATTTTGGTACATCCAAGCTTTTAAAGCTAGACTCATCCAACTGGACCGCAATCACAGGCACATATGGCTATATCGCGCCAGGTAACGCAATTTTGTAATGTTAGTACTACATTTTCTTAAGTTTCATGATATATATGAATAAGTATATGTACATATATGTATCTATGTTAGAATCTTGTGAGGTTGATATAACTCTTTTTATTGTTTTATCTCATGTATCTTTGGATGTAGAGCTTGCTTATACGATGGTGGTGACCGAGAAATGCGATGTGTATAGCTTTGGGATCGTGGCACTAGAAGTGATCATGGGAAGGCATCCTGGTGAACTACCAACATTGCATGCGGATTATCTGGTGTTATCAAATGTTGGAGATAGTCGGATTCCACTTCCTTCACCACAAGTTGAGAAAAAAGTTAATATGGTACTGAATCTCTCAAGAGCATGTTTGAACTCGAATCCACAAGAAAGACCAACAATGCACCAAGTAACAAATCTGTTGATGAAGGCTTGATATTAATTTACTTTGAATGTTATTTGCTTTTGTCATGTTCCCTATATGCATCCTGATAATATGTATTCATTTGAATGCCTTTTTGTTATGAAACTTCTCATATGTTTTCTTAAATCATTATGTAATAGATAAAAAAATAAGTCAGTGAAGATTGATATCCTTTTAGAAGCTTCACGTCTCGAAAATATAGTATTAGTCAAGGACAAATCTGTTGCTCATCAACTGAAATTTAACAAGTTTTTTCATCATTTGGATTTCCAGTAAATATAAAAAGTAGCAAAAATAACATTGGTAAATTAATTATATGTAATAAATTATTTTCTATAATTACCGCAAATAGTAAATACGAATACATACCAACTGAAATTCATCTTAACTCTTAATACAAGATTCCTATCAATTACATATTGAACTAAATCAACTACCAGTATGGGTACACTCGTACAGGTGCCATTTGGTGAATTTTTACACTTTGGCCATCGACTCCATACCATAAAACTCAAATTTAAGAGGGTTGGCAATGATTTGATGCTATGCACCACCTAACTCATTCATATATAAAAACAAGTATTTAATATGAAAGTAGCTTTTAACAGCCTGACACATTTACACACCATAACTTACTAACTAATTCAAATAAAAGTTACATGATCTTAATTATTAGTAGCTTTTAAATGAACCTACAAGGAGTGTTGGAAGTCGATAGTAAAAAAACAGGAGGAAAGAAACCATTGCATACCTTTTAATAGAAATCCACTTCAACAGTGATGAACACTTCGACCAATCCACTTCAAACACACTTCGACCGCTCTGCTTCTACTATGGAAATGATTCACACTGATGAAAAATCAGCAATCCGTTTAAATCAATAATTTTTCTGCGATTTTGATGGATTCAAGTGATTTGGTATCATGATGGATTGAAATAGAATTTATATGATAATAAAGGATTCACATGATTTGGTTGCCTTTTCTGCACTTGGAAATCGACAAGCAGGAGAAGGAAGAAGGAGTGTTGTGGGCCTAGGAGCAAGCTCCGAGGTTTGAGAATTGAGGACGAGAATAGTCATGGTTGTAATTGTAATGAAGTGTGCGATTTAGTTGAACCGGGTCGCATGAGATGCAGGGAGGGAATGAATTTTTTATTATTAATTAGAAATTTGGACAAATTACACGAATGGTCCCTGTGGTTTTGGGTTATCGACGACGAAAATAGCCATTGTTTAATGGTTATGACTTATGAGGGTGGCTCAGCTATGCTTGTAATGAGCTGTGTAGTTTGCTGGTCGTATTGGATAGACGGAGGGAATGGAATTTGGGTATTATCAAATAGAAAATAGGGTTATCATTGGGTTTTATGTTAAAAGCAAAACTCGTTTATTTAAAAAAATAAATAAATAAATAAATAACTTACATTTCAATAACTTTTTTTCGTTTTTGTTTGTGTATTTGATTTGGATGTAATCTTTGGAAAATTCCACAAATTTTTTTTTTCAAATATAATACTTTCATTTGACAAAGTTTTTCCTAATGATGTAGGTTTCAAATACTTTTATAAACTAAATCAATGATTATGTTTTTATATGTTGTTTGAAAAATTAGTACCTTGATTACGAACAAAGCCCCCCAAATTAAGCAAAATACTATCTTCTATGTAATCTACTTTAATAAATAAAGATCTTTTTGTCATTTGTCACATGTCATTTTGTGGTTATTTTAAATTAATTTTTTTTTTCTACACGTCATTTTGACATATTCTCCGTGTGCAATTAGGCTCGAGGACAAGCTTGCTGATATCGAGTCACATATATACTTAATCTCTTAATCAACAATAAGGTTCACAACTACAAATTATGTATCCCTATGCCCTCAATCTAATTAAAATCCTCAAAGTAATTATACAGCTACCATGGAGTATTTATATTGTATACTTTACCTAATTATTAGTCAATTTTCATTGTTTCGTTGTGGTTCTCAGTAAATTTCATTATCAACGAACTAAATTAAGTAACAGTACATGGTTTCTAATGGATGCTAAGTGAAAATTATCACTAAGAGAAACAAACGTACATCTTTTCTTAATAATCAGACACAAGATGATCATAATCACATTTGAAATAGGTGATATTACAAACGAGAACCTGGAATTTCGATAACAGAGCTTCAGAGTTTGGAATACGCGATGTTCGAAACCTAATTCCGATATGTGATGTTGAACAACTTGTTGCTCGAGTCCTATGGTCGTGAGGCTCTCGGCTCTGAGGAGCTTCTGAACAATGATCAAATTAGTGCAATCAGAGATAAAATCAAAATCGAATTTCAACAACAGAGTTTGGAATACCGAAGTTCTGCAACTTGATGTCAGAGTCCGACGATGGTAGATTGGGGTTCACGGCTCTAAAGAGCTTGTGAATGGCGATCAAATTAGGGATTCACGATCCTCTCATGACCTGCCACTTGCCCTGCATAGGCCTAATCCCCAGCAGGTTGGTAATATCAAGGTCTGTTTCTTACTTGAAACATATAATGTATAAAGTGCTCCTACAAATCCTTGAAGAGAAGATATTCATACCAATTAATGCGAGTATATATAAAAGCTTCTTCATCTCAATAATTCTTCCATGTGTATTGCAAGAACCAAAATGGCACCTGTAGTTTCATTGATCCTCTTTAGATCATGAAAAATATTGCAAATTGTTCAATTTACGAAAATTGTTACTGCAAACGAACTAACATAAAGGTTCTCCACATTGATGGGCATCAAACTTTTTTCCAAAGACATGATATTTAATGTTGAACGATTTTTTTTTTCAAAAGACATCATAAGAAGATTAACTAGCAATAATAACAAGCAAATTTAGTTCAAACTGAAAGTGTAATTGCCTGGGAACCATAACTACTCTCATATCGTATTGGGTGTGTACACTTTTTTGGTCAGAATTGACAAATATTTGGTGATGGGTACTTATTTCTTTTAAATATTCTTTGTTTTCTAATATACTCTATGAATTCTAAACAAAATGTTATCAACAAATCACACAGCTAATCCCCTAATCTAATAAATAAGAGCATTTTTGCCACGTGGCAATCTTTTAGCCCCCTCCCCTCGATTTTTCCCGCTTCTATAATCTAACTGATTTTCCGATATTGCACCTGCTTCCTCTTTTATCTTTCCTTCTTGAACTCCTCTGATTCCGCATCCATTTGAAACCAAATCAATTCCGTCAACATGAAATTAAAAGATGAATATTTCGACTTATCGTCACCGCTCCTACTCCACTACTGTTCTTCTCTCTACGAATACCGGTGTCATCATCATTCCTTAAATCTCGCCGATCCTTTATCTTTCTTCGTTATTTCCTCTTTTAAACCCTAATCTTCTTTTTTCCAGTCCATCAATAGTTGTGTTGCGAGGAACCCGTGGCGTCTCTCCAAATAAATGCCACCCAATTGGAATTTCAAATATTGACTTCTTGGCTTCATATCGCCCAACATCCGACAATTTTTCTTATTCAGGTTCGTTTATTGGAGTTTTATCTTAATGTGAAACTTCTAGGTCTCTGTTTGTTGGAGTTTTATCTTAATGTGAATGTTCCAATTTCTTGATTGTAAATTGTTATGATTTTCTTTAATTGGTTTCTTTATACAAATCAGAAATTAAGCAAATGGTTCCTCTATTCAACCTCAACTCATGGTTTAGTGAGGAATCATTGAATCGGTATCTTGTCTTCCATCTCTTTTTGGTTTTGATTTTTAATGTATAAGATCGAATTACATCTTGGTATTATCATCGTTTTCATCAATGCAGGCCAAATGTTTGACAAAATGCTACATTGAATCAATTTCATGTATTCCCTTTATTTCTTTGTCTCCACATACACATACAAACATGGCTACTTTTTTCTTTATTTTTGGAGCAAGGATTCCGTTCTGGTCCTAGCCTGCACGGTGCATAAGCGTGATTTATTGGGAAAGAGATATGGCCACCGTGAGATGAGCTCGGATGAGTGTCGGAAGCAGGGTGGGAATTTCTGGGATGGATGACAGGATGGAGCTACACGAATATTGTTGACAGGGGTAAAACGGACCTTGTGATTTTTTTTAACGGTTGGTTCATTTTTCCTTAATTACATTTACAGTCAATCAAAAATAGTGAAAATTTAATTTATGTAATAACTAAAGGACTGGATTCAGTAACTCCTTAACCAATTATTCAAATCTAACTATTTTTATCATTAACAAAATCAAATTTATAAAGACATTAACAACAAATAAACAAACATTCTCCATCTTTCTTTTCCTTTTCTTCTGTTTATCATTTTTAGAATATAAAATTACAAATGTTGTTTATATTTTTAGAATATAAAATTATAAAATGACCCCCTAAACTATTAATCGGTCTTTATTTGTAATATTCCAATGAAATTATATTAGTAATTTGGTAATTGGTCATTATTTGTAACATTATAATGAAACCACATTTGTAACTGGTATGGAGACTTGCAATATCTTTCATTAACGATTATGATAGAATTTACGATTTAGAATTATCAATAGTCATTTACTATATTGATTACTGATAAATTACGTGCAAAAGTTGCTGATCTTTAAATTACCAATAATCCACAAATATATGGTGTTGTTTTATAAAGGAAATACTTTTTTTTTTTTCTAAAACCAATATTAAAAAGAAAGAAATGGAAGAGGGATGTTATAATGAAAGAAAAAAAATAGAGATAATGGAGTTGAAAGATTTATTGGTATGGTAAGTTACAATGAGAAAAATGACATTTTAGCCAACAAACTTTTTTTCTTCCCACGCGCTCCCATGTGGTTGATTTTACAACCCATATATGTTGAAAAAAAAAAACCATGTACCAAAAGTAATGGTTTAATAAGAATAAAGCTTTTTTTACAACCCACACGCTTGTCTTCTGAGTGATACTATATTGCATTATACAAACTCATAACTTTTATAAAATAGGTGGATTTACATGTGTAATTAAATACTTACAAATTACAAAGTTATTCAAAAAAATTTACAATATTACAATTCATAAGTTTTTCTGAATTAATGATATATTACTTTATTATATAATCAATTGTTTAATTCTATTTAAAATTATCACCCGTGGGTTGCACGAGTTTTAACCTAGTG